TGTGTGTGTGTGTGTGTGTGTAGAGTAGATGTCTCTCATTTTTTTTCCCTATGTTACGTCCATTTTTTTTCACGTCTGGTAACTTTCCCTCCCCTCCTCTTCTCCCACCACCAACCAAGAAAACTAATAAATCTACGTTGTTGCTTTTTTTCTCCCCCTCGAGAGAATTATACGCTCGGTCAAAAATTATATTTATTTTTTCCTCTTCTTTCGTTTTCTTTTTTTTATTAAAATTATTTTTCTATATACTTTATATTAGCGAATTGTAGAATCGTAAAATTTGAATGTAATAATTTTATCGCGTATTAATATTTATTTTCATTTCGAAACGCGCGTATCAACGAGATTGAAAAGTTTTGTGTTTAAATTGAATTCGATCGAATTTTAAAAAAAATTGGAATATTCGTAATTAAATGATGAATTCTCTCTACCGCTATATTATTAATCGAGGAAAATTGATTTAGTCGAGGAAAATAATTTGACATATATGTTGGGAAAACACGTTGGGGAAAAGTTTGAACTAATCGTGAAACGTGGAAGTTTTTTGTATCATGTATGTACGCGTCAGAGTATACGTTTTATCGTACATTTCTCGTATTTTCGAATACAAAACTCCTTCATTTATTGCTACGACGTGAAACACGTGGAATAAAATAGAAAAAAAAAAAAAATTAAAAAAAAATAATGAAAAAGAGAAGCAACTCTTCCCGCTTACGAAATGAAAGAAAGATAGAAAGAAAGAAAGAAGGATAAAAAAAGGAAGGAAAGAAAAAATAAAAATGAAATACACGTAAAAAATTTCATGTAACGCGACGAGCGTATAATCCTCGAAGCTTTTCGGATGTGCTTGAGAAATACACGTGGAAGAAGAAGCCAATTACGCTTGGAAAGCTGATGCATAGGATAAAAAATTGCGTAGAAACGTAGAACATATATATATATTCATGCATATGTATTTTAATATATATACATGTGTGTATATATATATATATAATAAAATACAACATGCAACATAAATGTATCCTCGGTGCAAGTAACGTGCAGCAAAACAATTAAAGAAAAATATTATACAATCCTTTTTTTTGGTCATATATATATACATAAGCTTTCACATCTTTTAATACACATGACCACTTTCAGGGATGAACAATAAATATTTATTTTCAATCCTCTAATTTTTTATTTTATAGAATATTCTTTCTTTCAATCGGAATATAGATCGGTAAAAAAAAACCACAGTTTGACATATTTGTTAATCCATTTTATCAACTTTTTTTTATTATATATGTTAACGTCAAAGCCGAAAATCAATCTTGCTAGTAATTCCTTGGCATTGTTATCAATGCAAAGCTCTTTCCGATGAATTTGGAGATAAGACTTCTTACAGAGTTTTTTCTAGGCATAGAACATAACACTTTGATGTCCTATAGATCAAAGATTGCAATTCTATAAATTGTAATACTTTGTTATTTCTTTGAAAAGTTTTGGTAAATA